TATTTGTTGCACGATTTGGTGGTTATCTGAACTGACCAGCTGAATGGATGACGAGATGGAATTTGACTCGGATGTACTGGGTTTGGATCTCGGAGTGAACATCAGCTCTGGGTTACAGTTACATTCTGGCTGAAGAGTTTGAAACAGAATTTTACTGGCAGCCACATTATATCTATTCCATACTATATGTAAGATCAGTGGTGTTGTGTTCTTTGAGCTAAATCAATAAATATAGAAGTTTTCATTGTTGCCTTAAGCAACATCATTAACGTCTAATTCTGAAGAAGGTAGACGGTGATAATTTCCGTTTGAAATTGTGAGAGTTTTATCGCAAAACAAATTTTACTAGAAAATAACTATTATTTCTCCAATGATGTGTCCTTCACCAGTAAACTCTGCCAACAACAGTTACGTACAGACCAGTCGCCTAGTGAAATGGAAATTGTCTGAACATTCTGGAAGACAAACAATCGAAGTTAGTGGTCACGGTTATCATATTCATAGTTAATCACATTAACTCAATTATACAACCGCAACACGGATCTTTTGGATTCCTGACGTATAAGAATCCAACACAGTAGACTAAATAGTATTTTTTGTAAAGCGATTCTTATAAAATTAGTCTTTTCCTTTCCAAGACATTGATTATGGGGGATACAACTATGTGGTTAACACAAATGTGGATTCATTTCATCTAGCCTATACGTTAATAATGTCGAATAAATGATCTTTTTCTGTGTACGCATTCAGCGGATGAAATATTAATATTTCATTCGCTCAATTCATACACAGAAAGAATTATGTATTCGACATTATTAACGTATAGGCTAGATGAAATGAATCTACATGAATCCAATAGATTGTGATTGCTTTGGTAAATAACTTAAGATACATTCCAGTCTGAAACTAATTTTATAAGTTTAGCGCAGGTAACCAGTAAACTATCTAATGAATTAGTTTATATGAAAGCTAGAATCATCTTAATAATCAAATGGATCTATGGAGTCCCGAAAGGTAATTTCCTTTTAGAACAACACATATAAGCGAACAATTGTTTTCAATTAGATCGTCATCATGCTTTACTCTAATATATATGAATATCTATATGAAAATGTTAAACCAATCAAGGCAATTTGAGTCACCACACATAATAGGTAAAAGTACATGTTGGTAGTAGGAAGATAGGTGTATTAATAGTAGTAAGAATAATAAAATACGATAGTAAAAGTCTTATCAATAGTTAAACGTTGGAAATAGAAGGTCAAACGTGGGTAAATAGACTTGGAATAGTCAACACAAAACATTAAAATCATTACATAATAACAAGTGTGTAAATAATTAGATAGTGAAGAATACAAACGGCAAGAGGCGGAAAATTACAAACAAATACTAGATGTGAAAATAAGGCTCATGATAACAGAAATAGAATAAAATAAACAAATAATAACTTAAAAAATCGTTAGTTAAGTTATAACCGGTCATGGGAGGGATAGGAGGGTTATGAATTTCTTCTGTACATATAGATTGGGGGTTTTATGTACGAATTCCTATGGCTTCAGCTATATGTAGGAGGCGCGAACGAACTCCGTTGGGAAATGACGAAGCTATATGATAGATCACTCGAAATGATTTCGATTTATCTACAGCATGACCGCTATCAATGAGATATGCCAAGATAGAACTGCGAATTGTTTTTATTTGGCCCTTTATAAACCACGCTGGTAGATTTCCTTTTAGTTCACAATTATTTTTTCGATGTGAATCCATAACACCATACTTCAATAAAATGTTGGCTTTAGTTATTGAGTTAATAATTGGCTCTCACTTTTCGCAATCTTAACATTTAGCTAAGTGGGACATTTATTAAGTATATAAGCATTTCCTACATGAAGATATACTTGTTGGACAGGTAGAGAGAGATGGAATAGTTCCGCTTGGTAAGGAAACTGACAAAATTGAGAATCGTTTAAAAACCTTCAGTAACAGAATAATATATTTTAGAACAACATTATATATCTACAAATCCAACATAGTTCTGTAATAATTCATAATGCATCCACAGTAAGTGATGTAATCGAGCGTGTTCAGTAGTGCAATTAAGGTAGAAGTTTCACCGAAACATGGTGTATTTTACATGATCAAATCTAGGTAAAAATACAAAACGTTTACTTGGCTTTTACTAGCTTGTACTATCCGCGGAGTATGTGAGATTTTTATCGCCTTTTCAAAGTGTACTGAGCATCCCTACACGTTGTACAGTTGTTCATCTATGAAACAGTCTATGAAATAAGATTTATGTAAATTGTGTGTATTTGATGTATGTATTTTCAAAGCATTTCTCATTTTTAATGCAGTTATTATACAGGCAAAACTAACACTAGACCCAGGGTTTTAAGTAGAAGTGATGCGCTTATTGATAAAGCTAAAAACCTCCAACAATTGAACTTCCTACACACGCTTGGGCATTATTCATTTTATTGTGCAATATTGCTCGATATTGGGTTGGATTGCAGAAAACGGTCTAAGAGTGCTTAGATTTAGACTTGACATAACCACATGAAATTAGAGGAATAAAATGTGGGCATGTTGGGAAATATAGACCTACTATTTAAGGTCAGCACAATTTATGGCCGGAGAAGCTGGATGACATAGGTTAAGTCGGCCGCAATAGGTCAAAGCAACAGATCTATTTTTTCAGATAACAAACTAGTTTTATTCTATACTTTTTAATTCTGTCCAATTTATTACCTTTAAATTAGATATTTTTTACTAGGTTTTTTCAATATACTTGATACTTTTTTTAACTTCATATGCTCCTCTGTCCGAGTCACTTTTCACTCTTATTTGCTGGGTAGTGATGTAAACAAACAAAAATTTGGGTCAATGTTTATTTTATTTACAACTTACTGATGAACACTGATATGCATTATCAGCTTGAAGATCTTTCGGATCACTCCTTCTTTACTATAATCCATAATTAACCGATACATTACCATTATTATCTATGCACTGGCTTAAAACATTTAACAAATTAAAGATTTTAATAGTTGAATTCATGAATCGATCTAATGTAAAACACCGTTAAAAACCTGGAAGCACCGGACGGCTGCTTCATCCTAGTATAGGACTTCTCAGCAGTGCCCATCCACGATCCCGCATGCGGGACTCGGACCCAGAAACCTCGGTCTCGCGCACAAACCCTTAACCCCGAGTGCGAAACCGTGGATGCGCGCTGCTGAAGAGTCCCATACTAGGATGAAACGAACATCCAGTACTCCCAGGTTTCCTAAGGTAGTTCAGCTCAAATCGACTCATAGATCCAACCATTAATTTACTACGATTTCCACAAACCCTCATTCTGAAAATTAAAGAATAACTAGCTAATTATGTAGCCACTTAACCACTGCGTAGTGGAGAGTGTCTTACAAATAAATCATTTCCAATATGAAAATTACTCAACTTTTGATAGTGTGATCACTACTTTAAGTTCACTTAATCTATATAAAAGTACTCAGTTGAGCATCTACTTTATCAAACTACATTGCTTAACTCATATAGATTTCTATGAACTATAGTAAAAGCATTGGATATTTGCTATTTTCTTCCTCCTCACATGTATGTATGTAATTTACGTTCTATAATGGTTAACTTTGAAAGTATATATATATTACATTTGTCCTAATTATTGTTGAAATCGACAGTTGACTTTAGCAATTCATTCATTCTTCATTAATTTTAATTTAGTCAACAGTGATCGATAGTGCACAGTTTGGGACACATTTTTGTTAACCTAAGTTGTTATACCAAATCAGTATAACAAGAGGAAATGAATATATAATGAATAAATCAAAATAACCTTAGAAAAAACAATCACAATTGAAAAGACTAAACATTGAGAATATGATTCGAGAACATGCAATGAAAAAGGTAAACGAATAGTGACATTCAAAGTCAAGAGTAAGATAAAGAATGAATTCATTCACGTCATTATGAAAGGTTTTAAATCATATTTTAGCTGATGTCTCAAATTATAAGCAACATTTACTGTATGGACTCCAATCAAGATAGTCTATATTTATCAAAACAGCTTAGACTATGAGTTAAGTACTTCATGGATAAATGATAAGTCTTAGTTAAACTATCTTTAGCTTTCACTGAAATTACTCCTATGCCAGTTAACATTATATGTCAAAATAAGTAATAGTGATTAAACATATATAAAATATCAGATGGGCTTTGTGGATATTATAATAATTTTAATGGTTAAGACCACCATGGAAAACCTGGAAGCACTGGACGGCCGTTTCGTCCTATTGTGGGACTTCTCAGAAGTGCGCATCCACAAACTCGCCCCCTGCGAGATTCGAACCCAGGACCTACTGGTTTCGTGCGCAAGCATTTTACCACTAGACCACTGAGATAGCCGGCATCCAACGGTGTTAATGTCTAACTTCAACTAATCCACGAAATTGAGCGACACATCCACCATTGTCTTCAGTGAGTTACTATCTCACAATAGAGGAGTTCCACAATAGGACGAAACAGCCGTCCAGTGCTTCCAGGTTTTCCATATTGGTCTAGCTTCAACTAACTCATGATCTTAACCATTGAAAATATATAAAATACTTTGCTTATGATTTCTTATCTATTACTGTTAGTTATGTAATAATTATACAAGATAAACACAATGAAATTCAATGAAATCTATTTCATTCATTCATAAAAATTAATTAAAAACAAAATATTAATTACAAAAAAAATAGTAATAAATCAATAAACTTCATTTATACAAAGCATAGTACATGTAAAATAGAATAGAACTTTATCAAGTACCTGAATTAGAAATGGATTAAGCGTCAAAAAAGAAAAATGTACTTTGATCAAGTTGTTTATCTTGTAAAGATGAAAACAAGTTTTCTTTTCTTTTATTTTCAAAAGAAAACTGGATTTTAAAAATAGAAGAAAAACAAAATACAACCTAAAAGTTGAAAATCAATCAAAGCAAGGAAAAGAGGAAAGATATCTATATATGAAATAGATGATCTGTTTCATTTGCATATAAAATTAATATTTCCAATAGTATTATTGTGTTACTTCTACTTTAAGATTACGCTTTTTCAGATTTGTTTTGTTTCTCTGATGATGACTGTGATGAAGGAGTTACTGATGATGATGACGACGAGGAGGATGCTGTTGTTGATGATGTTGATGATGGATATAAACACCAATGTTGTACCATGAATAAAATATCAAATCCAATCGATAAAATACCTAATCCAAGTTTGATTGGTGATCCAGTTATACTACTAACATCATCTGTGTGTATTAATAAAATGATATAAATAAAAAGCATAGGTTTATAATATCATCTCATCATATAACTAAGTATAATCATCATTTATACATAATATTTATAAATGAAAAATAGTAACAGGGTAGAGAACAGAATTAACATGTTTAATATGAACAAATTCAATAAATCGATCTATGTCGTATACAAATGTGAAATGAAATAAAACATTTACATATTCGGATAGAATCACCATGATAAGACAAACTGATGTCTAAAGTATAATGTTTATTTAATGGTTTCAACTTGTGTGATTAGTCAGTTATATAATTCTAATTTACTAAGCTAATTAGTGATAAGTTTCACAGATGAATTGACATACATAAAAAAAGCTTCGTTACCATACAATCTGTAATAAAGTGAAATCACTAACATCTGCTGATTAATGAAAACAGTATTTGACTGATAATTAGTCAGAAGACATAAACTATTTTTAATGCATGAATAGCGCCTACGATACTAAAATGATACATACACTATCATATATAACAAATCAGTTCTGTTTGTATCATCATGTGTATAATATTATGTAATTAGTTAATACAACTTTTGTAACATATTCAAAAATATACACAAAGATATTCTGTTAGAGAAATAAGTAATTGATAATATCATATCACTTAATGTGGTGCATTCACTCATTGACTGAAAATAAATATTTGACATACCTAATCCCAGAATATGTTCTCAATTTGAGGTTGTGGAGATTGTTGAGCTACAAATGAGATCACGAAAATCTCTAAGCACTGGACAGCCATTTCTTTTGAATCCCGCGTGCGGGTTCATGGGTGCACACTAATGAGGAGTCCTATACTAGGACAAAAAGGCTATCCAGTGCTTTCAGATTTTTAATGATGGTCTAGCACTGATCGCTTCATGATTGCAATTGAAACACCAGAATATAATTACAATAGAAAAATAAATGTATCACTTATATAAAATAATTATCCCTTACCCGTATTGTATCCTATAATCAACATTTGTGCAATGCTTAGAATCCCTCCAGTGAAATCTAATATAATATTACCTATACTCCAACCAACTGTACTCCTGCGACGAAAATTCATTAAAGCCTAAATTTATGTTTATAAATGTTAAAAAAAAAGGAAGAAGCATAAAATACATTTATATTAGATTTCTTCGCAATCGACAATAAATAAGCTTTGATTTCACAGAATGTTTGAAATAACCGCTGATAATAAACCCAAATACTTATATATTTTTAAAACACGAAGTTCAGCGAAGGGATCTCTTTTCAACGAATTTATTATCAAGCTGTACAATCGTATATCTATATGGAAATTTTTTTGTTTTTGGAAAAGTACTAATTCCGTGAGGAAATGTGAACACAGTTAATAAAAAAGGGTTATAATACTAGATTACGTAATATGAATAATAATAATAACACTGGATTTGGTGAATATAATAAGATGATTAAAAAGTTTTTGTCATAAATAATCAAAGGTCATAGAGGTGTAAAAAATAATAAATAAGGTGATATGATGAGCATTTACGAATAAAACAATGAGAATATAAGACATAAGTAAAGGGGGGAATGCAGTAATAATAATAATAATAATAATAGAATAATCAAAATAATTAAGGCCAAGGTAACGATAACGATAAGACGTACTTCTTTTGTACGCATAGTTCTGGTTTAAGCTCCTGGATGGTAAGAGCTTCGGCTTGGACTTCCTTTGGACTATACCAAAGGGGCCGAGAAACTCCCCACCATGGTTCAGTAGGAAGGTTCGCATCCTTCTCCGTAAGAGAAGAAAAATTTGGGATAGATTTAGGTTACTGGGAACTGATGAAACTAAATCCCAGTATAGAAAAGTCCGGAATACCTGTGCCTCGAACCTCCGTATGTCTAGAAAGTTGTACGAAGAAAATATTGTTAAGGAATCCATAGAATGTCCTAAACGCTTGTATTCTCATATAAACCAAAGGACAAAGAGAAGAGGAAATATTCCTGCTCTATGGGGAGACAGTACTGCCGCGTCACTAGTGGAGGACGACTTTGGTAAGGCTCAAGTGTTCTCAAACTACTTCAGCAATGTATACACCATAGAAGCACCCTTCCCATCAGTGCATACAGATCCCCCCACACATACACCGGATAGCGTGACCATTAAAGAACTTGATATCTTTGGTCTACTAAATAAGCTTGACATAGGTAAATCCACGGGGCCCGATGAATTACATCCTAGGCTACTGAAGGAATTATCTAACTTCGTTGCGAACCCTTTAAGTATATGCTTTAAACTATCCGTAACGCAGGGTCGTTTACCCAAAGACTGGAAAAACGCCATAGTAAGTCCTGTCTTCAAAACAGGTACGAAACACAAACCTGAGAATTACCGCCCCGCTGGCCTAACTGGTGTGGTTGTTAAAATCTTAGGAAAGATTATTCGGAAGGAGCTGTTTAAGTATCTCGATAAAAACCGGATCCTTTCAGAGAAGCAGCACGGTTTCAGAATAAGTTACTCTTGTCTCACTAACTTATTAGTGGCTCGTGAAAGCTGGTGCGCTCTTAAGGACCAAAAGTCACCTGTAGACGTAGCCTTCATTGATTTCAGCAAAGCTTTTGACAAGGTTCCGCACAACCGGCTGTTATATAAGTTAAGAAATGTCGGAATTGGAGGCAATTTATTGATGTGGATAAAAGACTTCTTAGTTGGGTGTCAACAAAGAGTTCGGGTGAACTCAAAGTTATCTAGCTGGAGAACTGTGCTTAATGGAGTGCCCCAGGGTACAGTTCTGGGGCCAGTGCTATTCCTCTTGTATGTAAATGACCTTCCTCGTCTCCTATCATCATCGGTCTTGCTATATGCTGACGATGTCAAGATATGGAGAACGATACGATGTGAGGGTGATAGCTTAGAACTTCAAAATGACCTGAAGAAATTATCTGAATGGTCTCAAACCTGGCAGTTGCCGACAAATACTTCTAAGTGTGTTGTGATGCATATCGGTCATCAAGGCACAGATACATACACGATGAATAACACTGAGCTACCTGTCGTCCAGACACATAATGACTTAGGAGTCATCGTTAGCCAAGACTTAAAGACTACTGCACACTGCCGTGCAATAGCCGCCAAAGGTTTTAGAACCTTATGGTCAATACGTAGGGCTTTTAGTCATGTCGACGCTAAGACGTTTTTGACTTTATATACAGTGTTCGTACGTCCTAAACTTGAGTACTGCATACAAGCGGCCAGACCCTGCTTAAAAAAAGACAGTGAGCTTCTGGAAAAGGTTCAGAGAACGGCAACTAAGCTGATTCCCGGAATAGCAAAGCTTCCGTATGAAGCTCGACTGGCCAAGCTGAACCTTTTCCCGTTGTCATATCGCAGAACTAGAGGCGACTTGATTACAGTTTTCAAACTGCTTAGTGCCAAATTTGCACCTGATATGCCCTCATTTTTCTTGTCTGCCAAAACAGAGAATTTACGAGGACAGTCCAAAAAGTTCACAAGCCAAGAACAAATAACTTGTCAGCTGACTATCGACTTTCCCGTCGAATCATCAACGAGTGGAACTCATAACCTCAGCACGTGGTTGAGGCTCCATCCATCGATTCTTTCAAAAGAAAGTTGGATCAACTGTGAGACCACCATTGCCAGAACTAACACAGGCCATCAGGCCTCCTGTCCTTCCCAAACTGAAACTGGATACGAAGAAATCTGGGTAGATTTGAATTAATCAAATAAACAACCTTAAAATCAATTTGTGTATCTGTAGAATGGTTATAGTCGATTAGGTGTTCAAGTATAGAACTCCTAACTGCTTTCCTTTCACCCTTATAAAACCATGCTGAGATATGTTCCCGTATCCGAGTTATATATTCTTATCATGAATTATTCATATTAAGTAAGTAAACAAACTTTGTCTTTCTTTCTTAATAAATCAAATCAAAATAACAGATTCCTGGAAATAAATCACAGAAAATAATATCTACATGATTATCCACTTGAGACAGTTTTTGATAATAAACTCTGTAAAGTAGAAAAAGTGCTCATCTATCAAGGATAATATTAGTGTGGCGAATAGTGGTGGAGATTGCAGTATTTCTACAGTTGAAATCCTTCATACTAATAACAATCACATTCTCACAAATGACTAACTTCAAAATGTAACTGCTGACGTTCTGGTGAAGAGCTGTGACCAATGGAGGGTAATCTGTGTAGGGTGTGAGACTGTTATCCATCGCAGGTGATGGATGAAGGCTTATGCACGATCATAAATTGATTGAAGTTAAACACTGAAATCGCTTAATACTAACTCAATAGTTTAGAGGTTAAGCGTTTACTCACGAGACTAAGGGTTCTGAGTCCGATTTCCACCTGCGGGACCGCAGCTGAGCATAGCCATTTAGTGGTCTAACCAAGATGAGTTTGTGAGTTCAACTGTAAAAAGTATAATATTATTGCCAATGACTGGACAAAATGATTATAATGACTTGAATAATATTACTGTACTTAACTATAAGAATTCATCATGAAAGGATTGAAAAAAACATCAATGTAATGTAACTCATTTACCAGGTTTATGTTTTTGGTATATAACTTTCAGACACATGATTATTGTGAAACCATGTGATACTTTATAATAAGTGCTCAAGATCAAATATGTCAAAAGATGTTCAAATTTACAACTAACAGATTAAATGACTAAAATTGAAACAATCAATTCGTAACTCACACATCAGGCAAACATATATACATTGATCTTTCAATATCAATTAATTAAACCAATGGACAATAATTCTATATTGTCATAATGAAGTTATTTGTGGCAAAATGTTTACAATAGAATATTTCCGCCTGGAGTCTCTCCGGGGGCTACTGCTGGTCCCAAGCCCGGATAAAGGAGGAGGGTTGGGCATGGGGTTAGCGAACCCATCCCGTAGAAAACTAACTCCCCAAACAAACGCTAACCAGAAAAAATTATCAGCAACAACCTCCTGTGGGAAAAAACCAACCAGATCATAACGAAGGAAGAAATCAGGAAGAAGCACTGGAAGTGGATAGGATACACATTGAGGAAAGCACACACCTGAGTCACAAGACAAGCCCTCACCTGGAATTTCGAAGGCCAAAGGAGGAGAGGAAGACCAAAGAACACATTACGCCGTGAAATGGAGATATACATGATTAAAATGAACAAGAATTGGATGGAACTAGAAAAGAAGGACCAGGACAGAAGGGGTTGGAGAATGCTGGTTGGCACCTATGCTGCATTTGGAGTAACAGGCGTAAGTAATTAAGTAAGTATTGTCTATCTTAATATTTACATATTTATTGAAGCTAACTATATATCACTTCTTCTACATGTAACAGTTTTTTAATCAATAACGTATTTCAATCACTCTATAAGTTAATGTATTTCATTAAGTGATCATCAACTTCCTACTGTTATACACCTTTCAATATGTTTTATTCATAATATTCTATCATATTAAATAGAATTGACATTTTGAAGATTTTAATTATGATTTATAAATATTTGTTACCATGATATATTCAATCTGCTAGCGCTTTTTACTAGCTAATAACCAATGTATATGCGTTTTGTATTCAATACTTTGATTGATCATCCATGGTGCTAACTTTTATTCAGCAGATTGTTATTCCGACGTAGTTGGAAAATGGGTTATATATATTATATATATGAGTGTATAGCGTTTTATTAAAATATCTATCAAGCTATAAGACCACATTTTAGCACGATCTGTACTTTGTAATATTTATAAATTGGTTCAGAATCAGATGTGTTTTAACGACACTTTGCTCTTAACCTTTTAAATACAAAGTGTTTAATGATTCATCTAAAAAATATGAATAACTTAAATAAAAATAAATTTCATTTGTTAGATTGAGGTAGGCTTTATACTAGAATTATCTATTGAGAGCATAATTTGTTTGCAAAGTAAGTGGATCGAGTTTTTTTACTGGGATCATGAATTGATGAATGTTGGGCCATCAATGAAAGCCTGGAAGCATTGGATGGCCGTTTCGTCCTAGTATGGGGCTCCTTAGTAGTGGGCATTCACGATCCCGCACATGGG